TTTACAATAAGTTTACATTACCAACAACTACAAGTATTGATTAACAATTTACCACAACCATGTTGACCAAATAACAAGTTTTTCGCAAGAACTCTTTTGGAAGAAAAGCTGTTATGAAGCAAATAAATAATAAATATATACATTATTAAACAAACATCATTAAGAAATGTCTCTTGGTCTTTGGTGTAAAGTGGCAAATATACCACTCGTATAGTGTAAGTTCAATGTTATTAAACGTACAATAGGTCGTTACTCTTATAAATTGTTTTACAATTTGGTTCCATGGCTTTTATTTCTTGCATCACGGAAAAGTTCATTGTCCATTGTTCTTGACCGCAAGAAAACAACTTATTGATGGTAACTTTTTCGTTGTTTGACCTTTGGCTGAATGAGAAAACCCTTTTTTCCTTTTGCGTGAACCCCCTGAGGGGTTCACGCTTATATATTGGCGAGTTTTTGAAGTGTCTATGGGCCACTCGATATCCTCAGAATCACGATTCTCGGAACGTCTCGAAAATTTTCCATCATTTATACAGGTAGTTATTTATGTCTTTGATACGGTCCCTCTATGGATAGGCTACCATGTGACAATTTATCTTTCAACAATCCGGCAAAGTTCATTTGTAGATTTGAAAGTAAAACGATAAAGACTAGGTTGCATTTTATATATTTGCCTTTTTACAAAACATATATGTTTTTAATTATGTGAATATTTATTGAATATCAAGTATAATGATAACGCAATTATATAATTCATGCTTTGAGACGGTCCCTCTACGCGTTGTGTGTGTAGTTTTTTATAAACCTTGGAATAGTTTATTGATAAACAATGACCCAGAATAAACTGATTATTTCTGAACGTTTATCATTTGATATTTAGTATTTCCATCATAGCATGAGAAAATGTCGGAAAGCATGAAGAAAATTAAGAAAACGATATTAAGAAAACGATATTTCTGTTAAAAATATTTATCTAAGGTCGGAAACACAGTGGTCGGAAAGCAGAAAGATAATCAAACAAAAGGATATTTCTTTAAAAAAAATACCTAATTTCATTAATAGATACTACCAGGCTCGCGTTTCATTTAGATATGAATTTTCAGTGGCGATCGACTTATACCAGCTGGGATGCCAAATCAAACACGAAGTTAAAAGGAATTTTAAGCACTAAAATGCAAAACGTTGTGCCAAATTAAAGCGACAGCAATTTACCGATTAAGAAGAGAAAAATATGGCTAAGGCAGGCTATTTATGCCTGGCGGTAGCACAACTTAGTATTTCTATTTTCTTGAACATGTTGTCGACACTAAATTTACAGAAAATCAATAAATCACTGATATTTTATGTCAACATAAAAGTACTGACTACTGATATCCTAGGCCTCGGGGACGAAACGCCCACCAGCAGTGACATCGATCCAGTGGTTGTTAAAATTATTAAGGCTACAAAGCTTATGATTTGGTATGTCAAACGTGCGTTTTGTCTCCACTCGATTCATCAGTGGCACTGGACTCAAACCAGAATGTGAGGCCAAAGCATATAACAAACACATCACTGTCGAGATTTTGTGCTTATTTTAAGGGTATAAGAACGTTATTTCTGCTTTTCTTTTTTTTGGTTTCTTTGAAAGAGAATTGCTTCGGATGAGAATATATTTCACCATAGGTTCTAAGTGGCAGATATCTTCAAAATATTTGAGTGTTGTCAGTTTTTCTTCGATATGATTTTTCGTTTTTTATTTAGTATCATATATGTATCATTTTTACAAACGATATTTAAGTTTGGTGACAGTTATGGAATCTCTGTATCTCAGATGACCACGAATATTTTCCATTTGTCATAAGCTAAATCCAAACATCGTTTCCCTGAACATAACATAAACGAATGTGATATAACTAGATTGTAGGGTATCTCTAGTGAAGAAGAAACTGTTTATCCTTCCTCAATCATTTCAATACTTGAGTTCACTTATACGTTTGCCTTTTTCTTCCTACCCATGAGTTTTGATCGCCCCGTGGTATCTCCATACATTTTTCACAACTACAGGTGAATCAAACAATATCATGTATATATGGGAAATATGTATGAGATTAAAATCTAAGGACATACATATAAATAAACCACTTATAAAAGGAACAGCGATTCTTGTTTCTTCTTGTTTTGTTCCATAAAACATTATTGTTCTAACTGCCTTCATGGTATTTGTCATTTTTTTAACTTCATTGCTCTTGAGATAGAATTGACTAAATAACTCATACATTACAATAATTTTGACCCTTCCGTAGCACACCAGTTTTTTTTCTATTTGGTTTTCAATCTGAAGTTTTCTGTGTATTTTTTTGAGGACTTTTATACAATAAGGATATGTGGTATGATTGCAAATGATATAACTATTCAAGAGTTCAAATAACGTGGAACTTATCAGTTATATGTCGCCTACGGCTTTCAACAATAAGCAAAAACCGTAACGTGTTTATTCAAAGTATTCATAAAAAAAATTACATGGATCGACTTCAAATTTACGTTCTTTATAAGCAACATATTCGTATAAATAACGATGTGACATCCTGTTTTTTTTATAAAAATCCTACAGGTACAAACAAATTAACTAAAAATTAAAAAAACTGCTAACCGAATATGTGTATTAATGAAACAATTAGTAAAACTTTGTTATTTTGTGAAATCTATTTATTTTATTTTATTTTGTTTTTTTTGTTTTGTTTTGTTTGTTTTTTGTTTGATGTTTTTTTTTTTCTTTTAGTCATGATCTTGTCTGTTTTTCCTTTGTTATCTTTCCCTATTTTGACAGACAGATAAAAGAAACAGCTATCTTCCACTTAACCGGTACTCTTCAATATAAATCGGTATGCCCGACATATATATTCAACGGAAATTATTTCATATAAAAATGGTTAGTCTCATTTACAAGTAATATTTTCTATTGCCCTACAAAAATATAATAATTTATACAGAGCAAAGATTTCTGAAGGCAAGTTTGTAGAAAAAAGAATTACCGACCGTTCGAGGACTTAACAGCTAGTCAAGGTCGATAAAAACTACCCTAGTAGGTTAAATTGAAAAGGAAAGGGTGAAAACAGCTTAACTACGCAAATATATCTACAATGTAGTAGAATAAAGATGTATAACCAAGAAAAATTTAATTTTAAAGACATTACGGGGCTTACAACTGACTTTTCGATACATTAACCTACATTGATCAAAATTTGTTATAAGACCAAGCGGTTGACAGACGAAAATATTGTTTTAAATTATAAAACGCACAAAAAAAACCCCAGTTTTTTTCATGTTCAACAAACATTTAGGCATTTCCTATTCGACAGTTCAAAGGGATTTGCTGTAGACTAACATCAAACCACTCACTTTCATAGAAGAGGCCCTTGCAAAAAAGAAACGATTCGGTTATTTAAAAGGATTAAAATTGAGAACTTTACCAAAAGGGCAAAGCTCTCTGTATCTGTTTTAAGGTCCTGACAATTTAACTTTTATGGCATTGGCATACCAGTACAAATATCGGATCATTTAATTAGAGATATCCCAGATTTGTATAAAATTTTAAATGCAAATTCGTCATATAAAACTTGAACTTAAAATCGAAAAAAAAATCATCTTTTTTTTTCTGAATATTATGAAAGGAAAATTCTTACAACAGATGAACGTTTCCAAAATTGCTGTGCAAATGTTGATAAAAAAATCGAAAAAAAAATCAACTCTTTTATTTTCTGAATTATCAATAATGAATATTCATTAATGAACGATATGTTTTTTTTTTTTGTTTTTTTTTTGTGTTTGTCAAGCAATTTGTATTTTTCATTGCTGTTACATTTTTACCATTTCTCTTTGTTATTGTTCTTGCAAATATTTCAGGTGTGGCTTTTCATTTTAACAACAGTGCTGTCCGACGTTTAAGGGGGGGGGGGGGGGGGGGGGTAACGGTTAGGCGCCCGCTAACATGTTGAACATCGCCACATTCTGTTTGTACCTGTCCCAAGTCATGAGCCTGTAATACAGTGGTTGTCGTTTGTTGCTGTATATCATATTTGTTTTTCTTTTATTTTTTGAACATAGATCAGACCGTTAGTTTTCTCGTTTAAATTGTTTTACATTTGTCAATAAGGGAACGTTTATAGCTTGCTATGCGGTGACCTATAGTTGTCTACTTCTACGTCATTTTGGTCTCTGGAAGAGAGATGTCTCATTGGTAGTCATACCACATCTTCTTGATATTATATATAACTGTTTGTAAACACAATGTTATTGTACAAATACACTTGAACCAATCTGAAGGGCCATTTATGTTCGAAAACATATACCACATACAGTCATGAAGATAATGTCAACATAAACGACATTTTTTATAAGTCATTAGCAGCTTATCAAAAAGTTAATCTTTATTAGTAATCAATAGACCATCTTTCTAGTATTGATTTTTGTGACAAGAATTACCTGATGTGAAAAATATGTGTATTGATCTTTATTTGCAATTTACATTAATCTCAATTTTATGTTTTTCTCCTCATGGAACAAGCTGTTGAATTAATGCAATGAATTTTTAAGGAAAGTCAATATACGTTTTATTAAAACGTCAGTTTTCGTAACGGGCACTAAATAATAGGTCTCTTAAAACAGACAACTATATTTCAATGACACAATAGCATTAATAAAGATGAAAATATTGTTGTTGTAGATTTTTGACCATGAATGAGTTGATATTCTTATAAATACAAAGTTAATGGAAAGTTCTCAACTGTTTAAAGATCTGATTGCAAAGGTGAATATCAACATATTATTAAAACTACAGAAACGAATCAATGTATCATTTAAGTCATTAAAGATTTCGTTCACATGTACCATAAACGTTATCACAAAAATATCTTCGAACTAATAATAATAATAATAATAATAATAATAATAATGATAATAATAATAATAATGATAATAATGATAATAATAAAAAGAATAATAAAAATGATACTAATTACCTTAAAAATTTCTAATTGTTGTGCGATCCAGCGATGATCCGTTGTTTGTATTTAGCAAATTAATATCCCTACAAGAACACAATATTTAGTTGTAATCCTCCTTTGTTGAATATGATCAAACAATACTTGGAATTTTCCTCACAGAAAATGTCAAGTAACTTAATACACTGTAACTTCCTTATTATTCAATATGAATTATAGTTGATGTTTAACTAATTCCTGAAGCACGAGATAAAAAGCACGCGGGTATGAAACAAGCACCTGTTGAGAAGTTGTCGTCTGCAAGCGCATCACTGAGCCATGTGTTCCGATTAAATAACAGACTTGATCATGATGCCGCTGTGCTGAGAACTTGAACACCTAGGACTGTAATCTGATTATCCTGAAAAACCAATTGATTCATTATAATGTTAGATCTGATGTATTAAGACGGAAAATATTAATGAAAAAGAACTTATAATCGACGTTAAGTTGTTGAAGCAATCAATATTAAAAGAACCTTGCCTTATCGGTTGGTAGTATGACATTACTATAGTTGAATATGAATAAGGTAGATATTCTCTGTGGAATCAATAACTCTGGCATGTCGTGACGTTGTCATTCAGTCGATCCCACCTTTGTTTAAGAAAACTCAAAATAATACGATATATTGGAAAACAACGCTTCAAATTCTTTACATACTATTTGTTTTCTTCTGATTTTAACATTTTCTATTTGCATTTTCACGTTTTTCAATCAACGAAACGAGAGATTTTTGTCTTGTTTTTTTTAGAAATTTTAATTAAAATGAAATGTGGTATAATCATCGATATAAACAAATGGAGACGTTGAGTATACATTGATCAATGAGACAGCAGCCCAAAGACATCTAGAGGGCAACATACAGTCATTAATTATAGACATGTGACTGTACAAAATATCAATTTTAAACCGTCCCGATATCACAGTTTCGTATTGTTGACACCTTGACACATTATCTTATATTTAGTCTACCTTCTATCGACACTATATTTCATAAAATAGTATCAGATTTTATATCTTGTTTGAAGGTAAAATCTGTTCCAAAAATAGAAAACAATTCTATATATCGTTGGAGAAAAATAATTCAGTTAAACAAATTTTAAAACTAAACAGAAATGTAAGAAACAACAAAATATTTATCATTTCTTATAGAACAATTTTACAGCGAAAAACAAAATCTTTATTTAACTCACATTTAATTCTTAATTATCTACAAGATATAATCTTTTAGCATCTGTTTATTCATATTTATAGTAATGAAATTCTTGATTCTGTATTCCAACAAAAACCGACCAAAATATTGCATGATGCAGTCATCATCAAACCAGTTCAGCAAAACAGACAACGTTTGATCATTACATGATCATGTATATATATACCACCTACACTCTCCAAAAAAAAAACCGAGTGTATATGTCATACAAATAATAAATAAAGATAATGTCTTTTAAAATTTAGATACTTGTAATTTCGAAATTGAAATTATGTAATGTTTTGCCGATTATACTTATAGTCGTCAGAATGGTGATATAATAGGAAAGAAACCCATTTCTGCGAACAAATAAAACTTAAATCAAAGAAAGACGTAAAGAGAAATACATGCAAAAACATGATGAAAATTGATATTCACTGACATGTCATGAACAATGAAAAATTAATGAAATTGTGACTAGGACTAATAAAACATAGCCGAAGTCATCTCTGACAAATATCCAGGTCAAGAAAACCGTGATGGGGATCGTTAAATTATTAAAATGATGTCAACATTTCCTGTATGAAACCTTAGTTCTGTAAGCAACAACACTCTGTCAAGGAACTACTGATGGATGTTGAGGACTTCTTTGACTTTATTTAGAGAATAGATATAGTCCATTGTTTAACGTCATAACGAATTGCTGTGTTCGCTTATGATGAGGATTTCTAACGTTGGTATAGACCACTAATTTTGCTATATGTTTTGCGGTTTGCCTTTTCTTCAATAAAAAGGAGGCGGAATAAAGCAAAGGGACTTTCAAACATAATAAGTCGAAAACAAACTGACAACGAAATTGCAAAAAAAAAAAAAAAACAAACAAAGCGACAAAAAGTCCACCAAACACTATTGTGCATAGAAAACTAAAGATTGAGCAACACGAAACCCGGAGGGAAGGTACTTCCTGCTCCATATTTGTCACCCGTCGTGTTACTCATAACCAGTTATAAGCCTCGGTGATGCCACAACAAGTAGCAAATTACGTGCAATTATTGTGATTTGCCTTTGTTCCTTCTGTTATTGTGCTTTGCCTCTGTATATTTACCGTCTATGTATTTATTGAACCGAGAAGCAGTTTGTTCTAGACATTTGAGAATGAATTGTTTATTAACATCCTTAATATTGATTGATAATATAATTGATTGTTTATTGAAAAACTCTAATGGATTTACATGCATGACAATTTATTTATCCGTCGCTTGAACTTAATTTGTTTTTATAAATAGAAATAAACCGACCAGAATATCTAAATATGTTCAAAGTTATCAGTCACTGACGTCATTAAATAAAGGATGACTTATTCATCTGTAATAAGTTTTATGTAAATATTTCAACGAACCATTGACTCGTACACAGACCGAGAACTGCATGATTACTACAATGTTATGACAATAAGACACGCAGATCAAACCACATCTATTTGATCATGTTGGTAAAGAGGTGCGGCCAATTTCCCCTGAGTTTGTTTTACTCGATCACTCTGTCTAAATCTAAGAGCTTTTAAATACTTCGAGAATTTTTAATTTTTGAATATTTTACAATTTTACAATATATTCATGTATCACATACTTAAACATCCCTTTTCACGGGTTTTACATCATTCCTTTAACTAAGGCATTATGATATAATATTTCAAATTGTATATACTTTTGTAAAATATTGCACTAAGGCAAGTCTCTAACCAAAATGAATTGAGCTGTACCTAAAAGACATTGCATGTCGTATCTCATTGCCTTCAGCACACTTTGGTTTGGTTAAGACTTACCTTTTTGCGAAATGAATACTAAGTTTATATAAAAATAAGGAGATGAGGTATGATTGCCAATGAGACAAATATCCACCAAAGTTCAAATAAAGTGGATGTAAGCAATCATAGGCAACCGTACGGCCTTCAACAATGAGAAAACCCCATACCGTATAGTCGGCTATAAAAGGCCCCGACATGAAAAATATGAAACAATTCAATTGAGAAAACTACAGCCTAATCTATAACAAAACAATTAACGAAAAACAAATATGACAGATATGAACCAACGACAACCACTGAACAACAGGCTCCTGACTTGGGACAGGCACATTAAGAATGTGGCGGGGTTAAACATGTTTGTGAGCGCTCAACCCTCCCCTAACCTGGGACAGTGGTGTAACAGCACAACATAAGAACAAACTATAAAAATCAGTTGAAAAGGGTTTAACTCATCAGATCGATACAAAGCAGAAACATATCAAACATAAACACAGACTGGACGTGACAGGGTATTTAACCATCCCTCATCCCTAACAACAAAAACGACACTAAGTACAAGTATTGGACAAAATTGCAAGTATTGGACAAAATTGAGGTTTTGGTCTATCTTCAGGCGCTTACTCATTTGATCATCCGGTTACTTAATGAGCCACACTATTATTAGTATCCTAAAGTACACACATGGAGCTGTGATACTTTAAATTTAAGAAAAGATTGAAATCTTTTTTGGAAAATGACCCTTGTGTGACATAGATTCTGCGAAAATTCACCGTGCCTTGCTCTTACAACAACAATTTGACAGAAGAAATTCAAAGATGTACATGCAGTTCCTTGCGCGGTCTTGGCGTCCTCGATCGCAATCTGCGTTTTGTGAGCCGACATCTACTTATGTATTTGTGCTATTTGCTAGGTAAAATCCATTAAATCTAGATGAGCATCAGATAATTTTGAATATTGTGATACTATACAAAATGTTTTAGGGGAGTCTAATTCTTTTTGAATTTTGTTAATCATTTTTAGTTTTCGAATTTTTTCTAATAATGTTTAATGTTTGCAGTCAAATTAACTACATAGTTCTGTTCATTTTGCTAGTCTGATAATTTCTCTATCAATTGATCCTTGTATACTGCCACACATGAAAGGAAATAAGAAATAAAATGCTGCGATATATATCAGATATGTTTCTGTTTTGGAGAATTAAATGTTTAATTATTTATGTAAACACCACATGACTCTTTTTGATTAAAACATTTTGTTATGACAGATTATAGAGCCGTGAATGACTCTTAATACAGATAATGACTAAAGCTGTGGACATTTTTCAAAACAACCCTTGTCGAACAATAAATTTACCCAGTTGATGAGTGTTATGCATCAAAATACAATTTTGACGCTTGTGTTATATATTATTTTGTCAAAATAAGATACATCCCAAGTTAACTGAGGTTTAGAAATATGATCGTCTCTTCGACTTCTCTCGTCAAACAGTAAAGTACTTGCATAACTGGTGCGACCATATGGATTTATGGGATGTATAAATACGCAGACACAACCAGTCGGAATGCTGATATTTAATACGATGCCTCGTGCAGAGATATTTTCTTGCTCTCCCCCATATCCAACATACCCTCATTTTCCAGTAGTAGTCAAATTCCTCTTCATCCCAGTCGACCCACTTTGCAGTATTGCGCAAGTCTTTGTAAGAATCAAGCAATTTATAAGAATTTCAAAACATTGCCGAAAAAAAAACCGGCGACCTAACCATCCTATTTTGAAGTTACTCTCATCCTGAGTTAGAATTGATAGGACTTTCGTTTCTATGTTTCTGGTAATCAGAGAAATATCTAGATAATTTTTGGTTAGAATGATAGCAAATTACGGAGTTAGCTCCCCTTAATTTCGAACAGGAAAATAAACGAATGTTATTTATATTCGTGCTCCATTATACATTTTGAACTTAAATCAATGTAAACTTGAGCGGGTTTTTGTAAGTCATGTTTTCAAGACTGTCTGACCGATTCTTACGCAGATTGACACTTAATTATTCATTTGCTCCCTTCCTGAATGTGCATGGCATATTTGCCACTGCACTTTCAGCTGAAAACAATCAATCTAAATGAAATAAACCTACATTTTGATCAAAGCTGCACTTTCTTCATTATGACAATTTAAGTTTTCTTTTAACATTTATTTAGTCCATTCAAAAATATGATTAATTTTAATTGTATTATTGCCATTAAACTTAGCATTGAAAAAAGCCCCCAAATATACCATTTTATTTGTTTTCATTTATAAAGTCTTGCTCAGGTGTTAAGTCATTCGTGTGCATTGTATGAGGATAAATGCACAAAAATAAGCACATAGTTTGTATGGTTTGAAATGAATATATTTGGTC